CCGTGCTTGTGTTCCCTCTCTCGCTGTGTCTCTCTCTGTCAAATAAATAAATAAAATCTTTAAAAAATAATAATAAAAAATAAATAAAAAAATTAAAAAAATAAAAATGATATTATCTTAGAATAAGATAGAGATTTTAAGGGATAATTTTCCATGTAAAAAGAAGATTGAATACAAAACCAGTTCTAAGCATAGAATTTTCATGATTCTTTTATAGTATTTAGGTAAGACCCAGGAGGGCTCTGTTCTGCCCTTTGGGGAGATTGGACTGATCTTGGTTAACATAATTTGTCTAAATTAAAATGAGAAAAGTAGGAACATCAATGTTGAAGGAAGGATGAACTGGTTAAAAAATTCTATGCTGCTTTTTCATTGAATTTGGTATGTTGTATCTTCTTTATCATTCAGTTCATAATATTTTTAAATTTATATTGTGGTTTTTCCTGTGACTCTTGGTTTATTGAAAGTATATTGCTTAATTTCCAGATATTTGAGAGTATTCGGGTTATCTGGTTGTTTTTGGTTTCTAGTTTAGTTACATTGAGAACATACTCTGTATGACTTTAATTCTTTGCAGTTTCTTGAGATGTGAATCATTACCTAGCAAATAGCCAGTTTTGGTGAATGTCTATGTACAAGTGAAAAAAAAGTGTATTCTATAGTTATTAGATAATATTATTCTATAAGTGTCAAATTAACAGTCTTATTCAAATTTCCTATATCTTTGGGTTGTATGTGTGTGTTTTATGTTTGTCCTTAAATTTCTGAGAGAAGTATGTTAAAATCTTCAGCTATGATTATAAAGTTGTCTATTTTTCTTTTTAGTTCTATGAATTTTTTTGCTGTATAGCTTTTGAATTTGTGTTATTAAGTGCTTATGTTACTTCGTGCATCCACATTTAGGATGATTATGTCTCCCAGATGAATTGGCCCTTTTATTATTCCCAGATTTTCTTTTTTATCTTTGGAATATTCCTTTGTAGCATTTTTCACAGTTTCATTGTTTATATGACTGTTTGGTGGTCACCTTTCATCGGTCAACTGTAAAGTTTAGTGACATGTTTTATCTTTTGTGTTTAGCATAATATTTGGCATATAGAAGTACCTATTAAATATTTGTTGAATGAATGCAGGAACGGGTGATACAGCTAATGGGTGGAGAATTAGTGTAACTGATTGAATGAACTGAGCTAAAGCCTTGGGATAAGTGGATTAATGCAGACTTGGAGAGAGCTTGCTAAGACATATCTGATCATTGTCTTTAGCCTGGTTCTGTTCCCATGTTTTTATGAGTAACTTAATGAAATGATAGAAACTACACTTAGGAAACTTATGAATTACTGGGTAGCTGATTTGAAAAACACTTTATAATAGTAATATAGTATTAATATAGTCATTAGGAATACACATCTGAAGTCAGACTCTGGGTTTGAATACTGCTCCAGCCACTTCACATCTCTGAGACTTTGGATGAGTTGCCTCACTTTTCTCTTTTTTCCCCTCTGTACTTCATTTTTCTGTAAAATGGGGATAATAATGGTACCTATTTCCATTTGTTGCTTTGAAGACTGAATGTGTTGATGGATGTTAGGACTAAGAAGAGTGCCTGGTTCATTGTAGAACTCATCATTATCATTGTTGTCATCTTTGCTATCATTATAATTATCCTCATCACAGAAAATATATAAAATCTAGAAAAATCTAAAGAAAGTGATATTTATGGTCCTGCCATCCAGAGATACTTCCTTAAATTTTTGTTATATTTCCTTCTTATGTTATGTATTCATAAACATTTGTGCATCATACATGTACGTACACACATATGTGTACTCAGAGATCCACATAGTATGGTTTATACTATTTTATACATTCATGTACTTTCCACTATATTAAGAGCGTTTATAGGATGTAACCAGCTTCTTTTAATCATTTCCTTATTTTAGAAATTCAAGGTTTCTAGCAAATTGCTATTTTAAATAGGGTTGTGATATATACAGCTTAAGTATTTGTTTATTTCTCTGCTTATTTTCTTAATAGATTTTTCTCAAAAAGTATGGATAAGTTTTAAGGTTCCTCATGGCTACTTCCAAATTGACCTTCAGAACATTTAATTGATTTATGTTTCCACTGTCCCCCCACCAATGCTGAGTGTTATCTTAAAAGATACAGTTGACCTTTGAACAACATGGGGGTTAGAGGTGCCGACTTCCCATGCAGTGAAAAATTCACTTACAACTTTCGGCTCCCCCAAAACTTAACTATTAATAGCCTACTATTGACAAGAAGCCTTACTGATAACAAAACAGTTGATTAACACATATTTTGTATGTTACATGTATTATATACTCTGTTCTTACAATAAAGTAGGCTAGAGAAAAGAAAATGTTATTAAGAAAATCATAAGGAAGAGAAATATATTTATAGTCCTGCAAAAAATCCATGTGTTAAGTGGACCCATGCAGTTCAAACCTGTGTTGTTCTGGGGTTATCTGGACTTTTCCAATTTGTTATATCAAATAGATATTTCATTTTTATTTTAAATGAATTTGTAAATAATTATTTAAGCTTGTTGTTGTTCAAAAGATGTTTAAAGGGATATAGAGAAAAATTCTGGCTTCTACTCTTACCGTTTTTCCCTGTTCCCACCAGAACAGGTGTGTGTTCTTTTAGCAAAAATTTTTGTGTCTTTCCAGAGTCTTTGTGCAATTGCCTAGTTTTATTCCCCATTGTCTTCCACCTCCCTGTCGTGCATACTGTAGACACTGTTGTGCAGATCATATTGTTGTGTGAAAGAGCTGTTTTGTCTTTCAGTATATAAATGGTGTCATCTTTTTTTAAACTTTTTAAATGACAAATTTCAATTATACAGAGGCATAGAAGGAATAGTATGATGAAACCCATATATCCTAGATTAAAACATTGTTAATATTTTATCATATTTACTTTGTCTAGACTTTGCTGAACCATTTTTAAGTAAATTATAGGCATTATGATACTTCACTTCTAAATTCTTTAGTATTCATCTCCAACATATAAGGCCATTCACAATAGCAGTTTCATACCTATCAAAATTAACAATTTCCTAATCTCATGTAATACCTGGTCAATCGTAAAGTTTCTCCAATTGTCCTTAAATTGTGTTTCATAGCTGTTTTTTTCCACATCAGGATTCTATCAAGGATCACACATTGTATTTAGTTGTCATGTCACTTAAGTCACTTTTAATCTAAAATAGTCTTCTTTATTTATTTTTTTCCTTTCAGTGATAATGACCTAAGGAAATAACTGGGCCAGTGGTCTTTTAGAATAGCCCATGTTTTGGATTTGTTAGTTTCTTCTCAGTGTTGCTTAACTTGTGCGTCTATCCCCTGATTTCTCCATAAATCAGAAGTTAAATCTAAAGTCTTAATTAGATTCAGATAAAACATTTTAGGGAAGAATACTTCATAACTGGTACATTATGTCGAGGAGGTACATAATTCTGGGTTGTTCGTTTTATTAGTGATACTAGGTGGCGATGACCAGATCTTACAACTGTAGAGTTATGTTTTTCCCATTACAACTATCAGATAATATGTGGAGGAGTGATGATTTTATACCATATGAATAGCCAGTTTCCCACCAATGTTTCACCTTGAGGTTTTAGCATACATTGATGATCCTTGCCAGAAGCAATTATTATATTGAGGCTTGCAATAGAATTTTCCTTTATAATATAATAGTGAACATCTCTTAGCTTTGTTGGCTGCTTGCATTCCTTATTTTATGAATTGCCTTTTTTATATCTTTGCTAATTTTTTTCTGTGGTTTTTTTTTTCTTACTGATTTGTAACATCAGTTACAAATTGTAACAGCTTTTTATATATTGAGTATTTTCCTTTTACTCTTTAGTATGTCACCAACACTACACATGAAAGTCTAAGTATAGCAACATGAATTTTGGTAGGCTCCAGTAGTTGTTAACTTAGGTCTGCTTTATGCTATGTTTTGTTTTAGAGGTTTTCATATCTAATTTCAACCAACTATGTGAGATAGACATTATTATTTATCTCTTGTTTTTCAGATGAAGGAACTGAAGCTCAGAAAGTATAAGCACTTTATTCAAGTTAACTAGTGAATAAATGGTGACATAAGAATAAATGTAAAGTTGAGACAAAATTACTAACTCTTGAGTGCAGGATGGAGGGAAGAGGAGACTTAACAATATATGCAAAAAGTACATAGGGGTTTTAGCTAGTGATCAGTGCAAGGGCATCAGTAATGTAATGTAGTTACCATAAAAGCTACTGTAATCTTGGGCCTAATAGTAGTACAGTAGCTAACATAAAGGAAATGTGAGCTCCATTTTATTCTTTGCTTGTCAGGCTATAACTGAAATTTCATGCCCTACTCTGAGTACTGTGCTTCAAGAGGCAGTGAGACAGACTGGAACATATTTAGAGGGGAACTTTGTTCCATGAGAAAGGATTGTAAGGTGTTGCTCTGTTGAAGTAAGTGTTTAGGAACTACATAATAATTGGCTGCCATGTGGTAGAAGGAGAAGATGTTAGCTCTGTGATCTCATGTGGAAAGTCTGGGACCAATGAGGAAAAGTTATAAGGAGGTAGATTTTTAACTCAAGAAGTAAAATAGTTTTATGGTATCTAGAATGAAAATTTCAGGAAGTGGTGAGTTAAAGGATTAGGTGAGTTAAAGGAAAATAATATCCTATATCACTTGGCAGTGATACCATAGAGGAGATTCAAGTGTAGGGTAGGTGCTTGGATCACAAGACAGCCAAGTAGAAAATTTCAATATAGCATCATAAGAGTTGATGTTAGTGGTATTTAGTGTGTTATGAATGGTTATAGGAAGGGCATTTAGCTAACACAGCCTTGGTGATAGGAATTATAGTCAGGCAAGCCTTCATAATGCTTGTTGTAATGCTGAATCAGTGAATTAATGAATTGAGTCTTAAAGTAACTAAGAGTTAACCCAAGCCGAGAAGGGTGGAGTCTTTTCTTAGTTATTTTACAATACAGAATCTAATTTTCTCCTTACTGTAACTCTATAAGAAGTCACAACTGAACTTCAGTATAGGCTTATTTTCTGTGTGAAAGCATTTATAAAATTATATTTATAAACAACTTTTCCTTAGACTTTTTTGAGCCCTAGACACATAGTAAAGAGAGATTAGGTATGGGGAAAGAAGGAGCATGAACACTACCTGGTACCCTACTAATCTCCATCTTAGCATCCACTTATCTCTGCCATATTTGAGGAGAACTGCTTTGATGTGTTTGCTCTCACATGCTTTCTCTGTTGAGATTCCCTTCAACCAAATATCCGTAAACTTTCCTTATGTATCCAAATATGTAATTTTCCTTTTGTATCTACACTGGGTGCATTTTATGTTTGCGTTATTCCTTTATCTTTATAGGAATGCATTGTGTGGAAAGCTTCAGTGTGAGAATGTACAGGACATGCCTGTATTTGGAATCGTTCCTGCTATTATTCAGACTCCCAGTAAAGGCACCAAATGTTGGGGTGTGGATTTCCAGCTAGGATCCGATGTTCCAGATCCTGGGATGGTGAATGAAGGCACAAGATGTGACAATGGAAAGGTAATCAAAGTGTTTTCTCTTTATGAAGTAAAATTTAAAAAATTAAAAGACCCTTATACAAAGTAAGTAGTTGTTCTTTTCTGATTTATAAAAGACATCTATATTTATTATAGAGATTTTGGAAAATACAAAGCCACCAAGGACAAAATTAAGAATGATTGTTATTCTACTATCCAGATTTCACTGGCAGTCATCTGTTATAATCCCTGGTCTATGTTGCAATATACTGTGCCTATTTCTTTCCCTGATCAGTGTGCTCTAATTTATTAGCCAGTCTGCTGTTATGGGGGCACTTAGGTGATTGCCAGGATTGTGTGGGTGTATATGCTTATGTGTCTCTGTACTAGAAATGTCATAGTGCACATCTACCCATGCTTCCTGCTACCCTCATCGCTGCGGTTTGGATCAGATATGAGTCAAGAATTAGCCAGCTCCTGACTTACTACTAGTAGTTGCTATATGAGAAGATGAGCTAGGCCAAATTCCTTTTTGGGGGGAATATATATTAAGAAAGATAACTAAGAGTAGTGCAGAAACTGTAAGAATTCTTTTTTTTTTTTAAAGATTTTATTTATTTATTTGAGAGAGAGAGAATGAGAGAGAGA